TCCCACTGCAAAAAAGAGACGCCTCATATAACTTGTTTTTTTTTATTTACTTCAGATTCACCTCAAAACAAGGCTCGTGAGAGCCACTTACATGTTTTGGGTTACAGTGATGACTGCGTGGTCAGATATTTGTTCACCCTTGATTTAAACCGTTGGAGGTTGTAATTAGCGGTGAAACATTCACGGGGAAGCTTGTTCCACAGTGAAGTGGTTCTGGGGAAGAAACTGTCAGCATGAAATTTTCTCTTGACTGATGGACTATTGAGGAAGAAAGGTTTTCAATTTCAAACGCTCCAAGTCTGAAATGATGCCGAAAATGTACTACAAAATGGCACTAAATGTCAATATCAGACAGATTTCCTCATCCAAGTGCATTTTCTCTTTTGCCGAACTGAAATTGCATTGGATGCCTTTGAGTATGATCCAACGACTACGCACAGTAGATTATGAATGAATGAATGAATGAAGATCTTTATTGCACATTTCTGCCACATTTGGCTAAGTACAGGTCACAACAAAACAAGATGAATGAACACGGTTAACAGATACAAAATTAACTAACTATCGTTACATAAATTCAACTTCTCCTCGCTTTTCAGTTATTGCAGAAATAAACGTACAGATCTGTTTTTCGATGGGTGGTTTATCTAGTCGTATAAGGAATATGAATTTTTCTGTTGTACTTAAGTGCGTGAAATGGGGGAATAGGTGTTGTACAAACATATACAGTTCATTTCTCTCTTTACTATACAGTTCACATTCTGTTACAAAATGGCGTTCGTCTTCTATTTTGTTCAGGTTACAATATTTACATAATCTGTGTTCAAGGGGAGTGCGGGAATGTCTTCCGATTTCAATATGTAATCTGTGGCAGCTAATTCTAAGTCTTGTGACAGCATTAGAGCCACGGATACGTCAACAGAAGGAAAACACCTCTGACCGACACACAGAGAACTTGAGTTAACACGCCAACTGACACCCCGTCGCCGGCCGGTCTTATTTCCTCTAACTCTTTGGAACAGAGTTTCGGGCCTCGTACGTAACCTTTCAATGTCAGCCCTAATGAGAAACAGTTTATCGAGCAAAGAGACTGATTACATGGGAAGGTTTTCATGCCGAGAACCACTGAAAATGTCCAGTTCTATTCTTGTCTTGCTTCGGAACACGCTACCTCCCAATGTTCGCATAGCTCTCACCATTACATCATTCAAAACCAAACTCCAGACCTCACTTGGAGATCCATACACTGTGAATTCTGACCCTGACCTCACAATGTAAATACTACTCTATTAGCGCACCTTAGCTTAAGTCTTTATACATTTATGTATAGTAATTCCTAGACAAACTATGTAATTATGTTTCCAAATGTTTCAAAAAGAGAGAAGAAAGGGCAACTAACAGTAGATGATAGGTAGTTTATAGTATTATTGTAATGTATAGGTTCCTAGCACTTTGTATTAGAATATAGCGTACCAGTATGAAATACTCATGTTTTGTATACTGGATATCCTCTTGTGCATTTAGCCCATCTGGGCAAGAACATGCAATAAAGATTCATATCATATCATATATAGATCTAATGAGTTGATGATTTTGATTTCAATGTCCTGTATGTACGCATCTTATGTAGCTTGTTGTCTTTCTCTCCAGGGTTAGCCCTTTAAAATAGTTTAAATTTGTAACTAGTTGGGCAGCCCTGGCTGTCACCTGTATAGCTGAACCAATGGTATAAAAAATGAATAAATGAAATATTCTTGTCTCTCACCTACGCATTTAGTCCTTGAGCTCTCCAGCCGGTACCCAGGGTTGCAGAGGCAGTAGTACGAACCGACTGTGTTGAAACATCGTCCGTGCCGGCAGATGTTCGCGATAGTCGAACACTCGTTCATGTCCACCACTGTGACATCAATGATAATAATTGTTTATTGCAAATTCTTGCCCGAGGGCTAATTGCAGAAACAGAAGAACCATTTGGTATAAAAACAGACAATTGGTACATATAGAACTACTGATAACTACTAAGAAACTACTGGTAAAAAAAACTACTGGGTTTGACTTCTTTTTTGAAGACAGAGGAAGACAAAGGATCCCACTTTTTCTGTAATTTGTGGGTTTTCGGATGTTAAGAGGAGAGTAGTTTTCTTTTCATTTGTATATGTGTGAAAGTTTGGGTAGAATTTGGAGGCTACGTCAAAGAGTTCATTTCGTTCATTGCTATAGAGAACAATTTGATATAAAATGCGTTTTGTCTTCCACCGTTTTCAATGATAATGGAATAAAAGACACGAAGACCTTTATTGGCTAAGTACAGGTCACAACAAAACAAGATGAACGGATACAGATAACAGATACAAATTTAAAAGTAACTAACTATCGTTAAATAAATTCAACTTCTCGTTTTTTAGTTATTGTAGAAATAAAGGAACAGATCTGTTTTTCGATGGGTGGTTTGTCTGTTTGCAATAGGAATATAATTTTTTCTACAGTACTTAAGTGTATGAAATAGGGAAATAAGTTCTGTATAAACCTATACAGTTTGTTTCTCTCTTTTTGCTATACAGTTCACATTCTATTACAAAGTTTTCTGTCATCCAAACGTTAACATCTAGATCGTTGACACTACAGTCTTTTCTTGTTTGATGTCACGTATGTGTCACAGCACATTCAGCTACCGGTATATCTGTATCTGTATCTGTACAGCCGGTATAACCGCCCTTCGGCGTAACACACCAGCTTCTGTATCTGTATCTGTACAGCCGGTATAACCGCCCTTCGGCGTAACACACCAGCTATAGGGGAGACTGTACAAGTACTGTACAATGGATGCAGTGGAAAATGATATATATTCTATTTACCAATGCCCTCATTACTACATTACTACACTAGAAATTGTTAATAACAAACTGTTAGTACTGTTAGATAAATGTTAGCAACAATACCTATGTCATGATGTAAAATGTTGCCATAAGCTTTATTCGTTACAATTGTCGTGCAATAGACTTATTCCTCGTTGTCATCCTATAAACCGCGGCGAGTAAAGAGTATTTCGTCTTGAATAGTTTCATCAGGTTGGTAAGTTACTGAGTAAAGGGACTCTTCTTACACAACCAAGTCTTTTATTCACGGCCGACGTTTCGGTGACCATCTGTCACCTTCCTCAGGGCAATTCTGACTTGTTCACATTGCACTGCAGCACAGGTGTCGCTGCCATAGATGCATTCCCAATGCATGGGAATTGCCCTGAGGAAGGTGACAGACGGTCACCGAAACGTCGGCTGTGAATAAAACACTTGTTGTGTAAAAAGATTATCTTTACTCGGTATTTCGTCTTTCCGACCTTGGGAAAATAGCGTGCAAAGCAGCAGTGTGATCACGTTAAAACTAACCAGCTGTATTGGGCCTAATGATGAGAACCCCTGCAGTGATGCCCCTGTTGTGTGTGTAGAACGACTAACAGGCTTTAGTGCCAGGTGCAGTTGAAACTAAGCTATTTTCCCTGCCGAATGAGTTTTTTTATTCAGCTGATGGCAAGACTTGCAATGTCGCCAAACGTGTTACGAAGCAGTAATTTAAAAGAATTGGTCCACACAGCATGGTAGATCTGTAGATCTAAAAAGTCGGACCTACGCCAGGAAATGCTGTACCTGTAGTTTGGCAGTCGTTACACAAAGCGACTTTTGCTTACCCGACAGTGCACAACTACCTAAGGCAGTCCAGACTCTACTATCAGACTGCAGATCAAGAGTGTCCGATCTCGTATATCTCTCCCACCCTTCGCCCTGACTCATTAGTTGTTCCAATGGGGTACAACACCTGCAAGGCGTTATCAACTAAAGAAAGGTAACCGTCCTGGCAGGGCTTGCCTTTGTGGTCGATGTTAGGCCACACTGCCTTAATTTTATGGATGACATCCGTGCACGCATTGATTTTCGTCTGTTCTGAAAAAAAAAAAGAAAATCACCTCCACCGAGGCTCTGGCCTGGGTGCCATTCTCCGTAGTCCATGGTAGCTAGCGACAATAGGGAGCCGGCGGTAACTACGGATGATGGCACCCAGACTACCGAAGCTCCACGGAACTCAAGAACTCAGTGCGGTGCAGAGTCATAAATGCCGCAAAAGGCCAGCATGTACCGGCTTGTCGTATAAGCCGCTATGTACTACCGCAAATTCACAATACCAGTATTTCGGTGGTTTAGCAGCGTTTGTTCCTGGAATCTTTTTTTATTCGCCGTCGCGTACTAGTTTGGGGTCTTCAGAGGATGTCATCTATAAAATTAACTCAGTGTAGCCTTACACCTATGAAATTATTGGCTCTGTCAGATGATAACACGAATCAGCACGCTTCACTGGCCCGTGTCATATCTAAAATTGCGTATGTACCCCTTGGCTGACATCAGCTGATGTCCTCCAGATGAACTCGAAAATTCCGGTAGCCGCAGACAATTATACATCAGGTCGCAACGTGGAAACAATTTGCGCAAAACCCCGTAACGTAGAAAATGTCACAGGGTCCGCCACAGAGGCGCATGTCGAGGCCGGGAAGAAAAAAATAGTTGACAGACTTCTTGGTGAAGTACTAGTATGCCGCGACCCGATCTTTGGTAACGCGTCAAGTACCTAACCTTTCGCTCCAGCGTCCTAAAGTTAAGTGATCCTTATATTCCCACACTCAGAAGCGCACAGGAGTAAAGCCACTGCACACTCGTGAATATGGCATTCCGAAAACAAGCCGAACTCCCCACAACCATGGTTAGGAGTAGGTCGGGAGTAAGGTCGGCTGGAGTTCGGCAAGGTCTGCTATAAGTTCACACAAACTCCACATAGAAAAAGGCAGACACAACCGCATTCCTCTAGAGCAAAGGATTTGCCAATTTTGCGATTTAGATAAGATTGAGGATGAGTATCATTTTGTAGTCGATTGTACGTTATATAGTAATGAGAGAGACTCCCTATATTCTTATATACTAGATAAGTTCCCCCAGCTTTGGACATTTAATGAAGTAGAAAAATTCAGATTTCTTATGAAACTTGACAAATCATGTATTATTAGTTCTACATGCTCGTACATCTATACCTGCGTCAAGAAGCGAGAAGAAGTTGAACATGTAAATAGTAGATCACATTAGTATGTATAGTTTAAGTGTCATTGCTGTATCCTTTTCCTTGTCTATTCATGACCAGTACTTAGCTTGTTAGAGCACAAATGTACAATAAAGGTCTATCATTCATTCATTATTGTCCGGCTGCGGAAGCTGAATGTTTCAAAATGTTAAAAACATTCGGGTGTGAACGAGAGGTTGGGAAATGGTTTTGCTAGTGTTCGGAAGTAGGTCGCGGCGTGATTGACAGTGAAATTCGACTAAAATTTAATTCAAATTCGATTCCATTCGTATAGAAAGGCGTGGACTCTGATCAGACCGCTCCCGGAATTCATCCAACCACTACTTTAAGACACACTCTCGTTGCGCCCAAGGACAAAACCCCCAAAGAGAAGAAAGTGTGGTGTCATTTACCACATCCCCTGCCAGGGCAAAAACAACAAGGGGCCCTGCCAGGAAACCTACATCGGGGAAACAGAGAGGTCTCTAAAAGCCAGGTTTCAAGAACATACACGGCCTAGCTCTGCCAGCTCAGAGGTGTCACAATACATCATCATAGAGTCACCCGGACACTTTGTTTCACTTGACACTGTAAGGATTTTGGACACTGAACAAGACTATTTCTTGAGAGGGGTGAAGGAAGCCATATACATCAGGGCCCATCACCCTTCATTGAACCGCGACGGGGGTCGACATCGTCTACCAAATACCTTTGACCCAGTGTTGACGTCACACTTCAAAGAAGGCACGTGACAAGCTTCACTGGGTCAGTCTACTGAGGAAGACCAGAGTGACTGGTCGAAAGCTCTAGGTGAGAGAATTTTTTGGGTTGGACCAAAAGTTTAAACTTTAAACACCGTTATATGTTCTTGAGCGGTGTAGAGATGATTAAGCTCCGTGGAACAGAGACCAGACGTAAGATGCTGTGGTTAAATGGAGGTCCCGTGTTTGGGACAGCCACACCCCACGCACGTTAAAGAACCCACCGCACTTATCGAAAAGAGCAGGGGACCTTCCCGGTGTGAGTGGTTCAAACCTTACAGTCCGGTCTCGGGGTTGACATCTTTGAAGAGGTGATAGTCACCTGTTATATCAATCCTTCCACAAATGTGGTAAATTGTCATAAATAAATAAAAATAAATAGTTACCTTGATCTGTTCTGGTGGATCCGTCTGTCCGCACGCCTCCGACGTATCTTGTCCTCCTCTGGAAGCCCAGACCTCCGGGACACAGCCATTTGAAGTTTTCTGTGGTGAGCAGAACATCACAGTTAGAAGTTCCCTAGCAGCTTGTTTTGGAACTGCAGGGGCGTTTGTTTGAAACTGTTCGAAGTAGGATAACTCAAGAACTGGCTGACGGATTGTCATTATTTTTGGTATGTAGGTAGCTTAAGTGATGCTTGACATAATTAGATGACAATTACGCAAATCAGGATCTAATTTACATTATCAATGACGAATTTCTGCTGCGTTCCATGAGGAAGGGGAACATTAGCAGATATTGATTATGTAAATTGTGACTCAATTTGCATAATTAATGAGAAAATTCTATAATTCCATACTGGTAAATGCCAGGAACTTCATACTTGCGGCATTTGGTGAAGTCAAATGAACACGAACGTCGGCTGAATAAACCTGTTGGTTGAGTCTCTTTAGTCAGTGACTTTGGCCCTTTCCCACTGGGATAAAATTGTCCGGATCAGGCTCCAATCCGGCTCGAAGCTGGATCGAAGCCGGATCAAAGCGAATCAATTCGGCTCGATCCGGACAATTTTATCCTACTAGTGGGAATGGGGCCTTAGAAGTCCAAATACTACGTACGTGTTAATGGGCCTAAATTCTCCTCCTAGCTCTGATTGGCGGATGTTTTTCCGCCAATGAGATATAGGAGGCTATCACGTAATGTTATCTTATCTTTCAAATAGCTTTTTTTAGCATTTAATTTAACATTTTAATGTCTTGGGGTGGTGGGACTACGGCGCACAGATATGTCAACTTTGTATATTTAAATGTTAATTGTACCTTTTAATTTTTGTTGTGTGACGCTGTTAAGTTGTAAACTTGTGTGCAGCATCACGTGCACACTGTCCTTGTTATGTTTCCATGTTTTGATGAATAAAAAAAATGGGGCCTTACAAACCTGATGGAATTATTTGCGGATGTACTCACGTGAGTTTGGGTCGGGGCAGCTCTCGCACTGAGCGCCCCAGCTCTCCCCGATGGTACAGCAGCACACGTGCTTAGTGATGGCCAGTCCCGTCAGGTCTACCCCACACACGCCTCTGTTCGTGGGCACGTCACTGTAACAGCGTCCGCGCATCTCCGCTGTTGTTACAAGCAAAAGTGTTTGATTTGACTTATTAGACTGTATAAACAGATATATACAGCCAGGACTGCCCAACTAGCCGGAGGCTATTATAAAGGGCTAGCCCTCACAACAAGAAGATAACTACTGCATAAAATTCTGTAGCTTAAATAATGCGTAAAATATATTTATTTCTGTTTTTCGGTTGATTGAAATTAAACATTATTTACGCATTCTTAAAGGTATATACTTAAATTTCATGCAGCGTACCAGCATGATTTTAATTGAGTCATCAAAACTCTTTCCTCGTGCTTACAAGTACTCAAGTTGTTTGGGGGGATGGACGTGAGTGGAGACTTAAAATTAACAGGAAGAATGACAGGAGGTCAAAATGTCAGACACAGGAAATGGGGTGCATTTGGAGGCCCTCGAATCTGGCCGGGAACTAGCGGGAATTAGACGTCGACGTGGTGGAATTTAGGAAGTCGAGAAGTTGCATGAGCAACGTTAACGCTCCAACTGCTATCCTAGTTCCGAATAAAGCACTTCATACAATACAATACAGTACAGAATAAGGTACCGTGGAGGACACGTCGTACAATCTCTTCGGTTGTTCCAATAAAATCACGAAAACCCAAACTTTTTCCCGGAATTCGAAGTCTGATTTCTGTTTGTAAGAAATCGACAAGTTTCCCTCACTCGAAAGAGCCCTTATGCGGTATACCCTTTGACATAGAATCAGAGGTCTCAGAATCTGCTATTTCGTGTTCTTTGATTGCTCGTACTAACTGGGACATGTTGTTCTGCAGTGCCCTTGTGTCAGACCCTGATCCAACGAGCTCGAGTCAACATTACATCTTGTAACCATGTCACATATGGCATCTTTAAAACATATCTTAGGTGTAAACATATCATACATGTACACATGAGAACTTGCACTTATCTGCTTTCATTGCTCATGGCGGACCGTCTAAGCAAAATTCGTTTCATGGGTACGTCATCTTGAGACTCCGTGATCATATCTCGTACTTACTATACAGTACTCCTTCTTCTTCTTTGGCAGTTCAGTCTACGATAGACTACAGTGCTCCAAGCGTTTCATAATTCACCACACATTTAAACAAATCCTATTGAGTCAATGTTTTGGCTTGGAATCGTTTGCTTGACAACATCTGTAACTTGTTCACCTCTTTGTAAGCAAAGCGGTTGACGAGACAGATGTTTGCACTCATGTCTTCGGAACAAAACTAATGGATAACACAGATGTAATCATGTGTGATTGACATGAACCGACCATGAGATAGCGATGCAAAATCGCGACATTCAGACGAAAGGAGTTTCTAATCTCAGGTATTCAATGTACGAGTATTAATACAATTAGTCCAGCACCCAATCAGCAAGAAGATTACAACTGCCCTACCAGCAGGTGTTCAATGTATTAATCCAATTAGTCCAGCACCCAATCAGCAAGAAGATTACAACTGCCCTACCATCTTGAAATCTTCATGCCTATTGGCTGTTGCTCTCTGCATTCCTTACTGATGAGTCATTGCTATAAGGTAACTAAACTTCACTATTCGGCATAGAAAACAGTCAAAAAGTCCCAAATTATACAAGTTTAGGGGAGAGTATGCCAAAAATTATAATGAATTGTTGTTGGTAGATATATAAAGCATACCTAGACCAACTTTCAGGTGATTTTAGTGTAATACCAGGTCTCCAGGACCCTAAATGTACAGATTTTGTCAAAAAATGGCCAAAAAAAACAACAACAAATAAAACAATTCTAAATGCCTGTATCGAAAAAATGAAAACAAAACGCCTGGGGGGTATTTGGCTACTCTACCTTCATACCAAATTTCATGTTATTTGGCCCAAAAATGAAGGAGTTGAATCAATTTAAAGAAATGGCAGGAGAAGAAGAAGAAGAGGAAGAAGAAGGAGAAGAAACATGAGGAAAAACAACATGACTTCACCACATAGTGGTGAAGCCATAATAAGCCGAATCCTAAACCTCTGCTTGAGGGTACGTAAGGAATTTTCATGATGAAAGTTCGAACGTTGAAACGGATGTCGGTGTGTACCTAGTACCTGTATGTGGTCTTGGTTACCGCCAATGCTAAGTACAACCAGGTTAGCAAACAGCCCCGGCTTTGCCAGGCCCCCGCTGAGCGTGCTATCCACGGCAGTCCTGTTGCACAATTAGCCAACAAATGTAGAGAACAGAAGTTTTTTTTACACCCACCGATACATCTGGTGCCGGTGGCGTCCATCATGTAACCCGCCCGACACTTGCAGTGGAAGCTGCCGGGGTTGTTGGTACACCGCCCGTTCTCACACAGCCACGGGAACGCCTTACATTCATCAATGTCTGAAAACAATCGAAAGTTTTATTGCAAATTCATGCCTGAGGGCATGAACAGAAGAAACATTTGGTATAAAAACAGATAATTAGTACACATAGAACTACTGATAACTACTAAGAAACTACTAGTAAAAAAAAACTACTGGGTTTGACTTCTTTTTTGAAGACAGAGGAAGACAAAGAATCTCACTTTTTCTGTAATTTGTGGGTTTTCGGATGTTAAGAGGAGAGTAGTTTTCTTTTCAATTGTATATGTGTGAAAGTTTGGATAGAATTTGGAAGCTACGTCAAAGAGTTCATACAACAACAACAACAAAACCAACATCTCACCAATTTTGCACAAAAAAGTTTGAAGACTAGAAAGGTAACATTTGCACAGCAAATGCATAATGTTTACCTTCACATGTGGTATGCTCTGTTAATTCTTACTCAAACACATTCATATATATGGTCAGACAGGAGTCTAAATCCCTCCTGCTATAAAATTGCAACTTTATGTAACCCAACACCAGTTACCATGGTGAGAGACGGCTGGTTCTGGTCATTGACCTTATTGGTTTGGAGAAGAGGAGGAAACAGAGCAAAAACAATGTGTTTTCCGTCGGTAAACATAATGAACTTCACTTTGTCATGGAATGCTAGCGCTCTTAATATGATGCTTATTCATATTTCTCAAATCAAGTACAACAGATTTCAAGAGAATCGACGCTACAGACAGATACAAATAGGTTCATAAAAGACTGCTCTGTTATTAGAAAAAAAAACCGAAACTCATTACTCAATTATTTTGATTTTCGCGCTGATTCTGTGCGTATCACACTGTCATTTCCTCACAGCCTATGGGGAGACCATTTTGACCTCCAATTTGACCTTCCTGTCAGTCAGCGGTTACACCATTTTCTCATTTTCTCTCACTCAGTCACTCACTCACTCACTCACTCACTCAGTCACTCACTCACTCACCACACTCACTCACTCACTCACTCACTCACTCACTCACTCACTTTCTATGACTTCTAACAGAAACTTTACGTACTCGTCCCCTGTGTTGGTGGCGGCATTAATATAAGTTGAAAAAACTTGAGTATGTCGTCACCACGTCTGGTGATTACATGTTGGAATAAAAAAAATAAATAAAAAAACTTTACGTATACACATTTATACAAGCGCGATTCCCGTTGTGGATTACGTATATAGAAGACGTTTATTGCAAATTCGTGAATGAAACGTAGTATAAAATAACTAAAATCTACATGATAAAAGGTAGTTGTCTAGAGCTATAGCTATGTCTAAAACTATGTCTAAGGGGTTTGACTTCTCTTTTTTAGACCATGGATCGAAGACGTAATGTCCCACCTTTTCCAAAATTAGTGGGTTTTGGGAAGTTAAAAGATGAATAGTTTTTTCTTTGTCTGTAAGTTTAGTAAAATTGGGATAAATTGTAGAAGTTTGAACATGAGCCATGACCTACACTCGACTAACCTCAAGCAAGCATTATACCCTGCACACACAATTCCCCCACACAGCCCATATATCAAAGGTAATCCCCTTTCCACGCTCCGCTCTTGTTGAAGGAAATAAACCACAGCAGTGAACTATTGCACATTTTATGACCCCTTATCGTCAACTCCACTGACATATTAACGACAGTCCTATCTGGCTTCTCTACACAGCATGGGCCACAACACTAACACCGGAGCGGATGTTACAGCTCCAGCCTTGTGCTCGTTGTTGGTGGTCCCAAAGTGGTTTCCATAAACAATTTTCCCTCACCACTCGTTCCTTTCCTGGCGATTCGTCCTGCTAGCTGTCTTGGCCCAACCAGACAGGCTACATAGTTTATAGAAGTGCAGCTAAAACAGTTTTAAAGTGGACCTATGAAATGTGAATAGAGGCTTTATCGTTTAGTCAATAAAACTGATGGATTGGTCTCGGTATGTAGTACGGACCGCGCGAGAAGTCCAAATAGTAATTAACTGGAACCGTGAATAGTTTCATCAGGTTGGTAAGACACTGAGTACACAACCGGTAGACATAACCGCACTCCCCTAGAACAACGAATATGTCGGTACTGTGATCTAGGAAGAATCGAAGATCAGAAACATTTTGTAACGGATTGTGAACTATACCACAAAGAGAGAGTAGATCTTTATAATCTGATACAATCTATGTTCCCCTTCTTTATACATCTAAGCTGTACAGACAAATTTATATTTCTAACTAGAGTTCCCCGATCTCATACCTTCGCCAAATGATGTTAATCTTTATGACTGACAAAGTTTAGATTAGATTATTCCCCCCTGATTTAAGAAATAGGAACCTAATTTTCATGAATTATATCATTTTATCATAATCTCAACCAAAAGACAGTCTTATATTAACAAAGAATGCATTCTAGCATTTCCTAATAAATTATGCAAATCAGGTCCTGATTTGAATAAATTATGTTTAATGATGTTCACCTCAATTTAACTTTCAAATACCACAAGTATGGAATTCCAGGCAGTTATCATTACATAATTATAAAATTTTCTCATTAATTATGCAAAACAAGTCATTATTAACATAATCAATATCTTCCTGTGTTTCTCTCGTTGTCAATTACCAATGTCACAAGCTTCAATTGTCATATCATGGAATGCAGCTGATTTATAGAATTTCCCCATAAATTATGCAAATTACATCCATATTTGCATAATTGTCACATCATTATATTAAGCATCACATAAGCTACCTACATACCAAAAATCACAGCGATCCATCAACCGGTTCTTGAGTTATCCCCTTTTGAATATTTTCAAGAATTTATCCCTGCAGTTTCAGAGCAAGCCGCTAGGGGGCCTAAACTCACGTCACTTCTTTCCCAGCACAATAGCTACCTACCATCTAAATTTCATTACCATAGCATGTCTAGATCATGAGATATCAAAACCGGAAGTTCAGCTGCAGTACCATAATAAGCCGCTAGGGGGTCCAAAATCTAATCATTTTGAGGTCTCATCAAGACCTACCCACCTACCAAGTATCAAGACAATCCATCAAGGCCTTCTCAAGTTATCGTGTTTACAGACAGACAGACACACACACACACACACACAAACACACACATACACGAACGCCTCTGAAAACATAACCTTCTTGGCGAAGGTAATGAGCTTAGACAAACCCTCTGTATTGAAACATATCTGTTCTTACATTTTTGCCATTACTAAGAAACGAGAAGAAACCGAATTTACTTGATTGTAGCTAGCGCTACTTGACGATGTATGTATGTAACGTTATCTATATTCCATCCTTTTTTTTTGTGACCTGTACTTAACCCAGTGGGTATGTGTGTACAATAAAGGTCTTCATTCATTCATTCATTCATTCTTTATACACAACCAAGTCTTTTATTTCGTCGACGTTTTGGTGACTGTCTAGTAGATCTGTCACCTTCCTCAGGGCAATTCTGACTGGTTCACATTACACTGCAGCACAGGTGTCGCTGCTATAGATGCATTCCCAAATGTACAATATTTACATATCTACTCATATGCGTGACCACAGGGATTAAGTAACTGGAAGTTGGTAATGATAGCTTCAAACCACCCGGAAGGATGCCTGGCGAACCCCCGTCTCGTATCATCACCAATACTCCATGAAAAATAGTGTAAATTCAATCAATCAATCAATCAATCAATCAATCAATCAACCAGTCAATCAATCAATCAATCAATCAATCAATCAATCAATCAATCAATCAATACTTTACCGGCGCAAGCCCCTGTTGTCTGGTTCCTCTGATGACCAGCTGGGCAGCCATCAACTTGTCCTATCGAAAATAAAGATGCTTCACGTCAGTATTATTAAAACGTAACTGTGTGGAAATACTGACGTATTTAGATAACTGGTTTAGTATATGTTGTAATTTTGTGTTGTTCTTAATCTATTGTTTTTTGTTGACTAGTGTCTCTTATTTCATTGCTTATGTTGCTCTGTTTATGTTTTCCTGTACAGGGCATGCATGTAATAAAGCAGTGAGGTGTAGAAGGTAACCCGTACCTAAAATGTGGACACACGAAGTAAGTGTAGAAGCTAACCCGTACCTAACATGTGTGGACACATGAAGCAGGTGTAGAAGCTAACCCGTACCTAACATGTGTGGACACATGAAGCAGGTGTAGAAGCCAACATGTGTGGACACATGAAGCAGGTGTAGAAGCTAACCCGTACCTAACATGTGTGGACACATGAAGCAGGTGTAGAAGCTAACCCGTACCTAACATGTGTGGACACATGAAGCAGGTGTAGAAGCTAACATGTGTGGACACATGAAGCAGGTGTAGAAGCTAACATGTGTGGACACATGAAGCAGGTGTAGAAGCTGACCCGTACCTAACATGTGTGGACACATGAAGCAGGTGTAGAAGCTAACCCGTACCTAACATGTGTGGACACATGAAGCAGGTGTAGAAGCTAACCCGTACCTAACATGTGTGGACACATGAAGCAGGTGTAGAAGCTAACATGTGTGGACACATGAAGCAGGTGTAGAAGCTAACATGTGTGGACACATGAAGCAGGTGTAGAAGCTAACCCGTACCTAACATGTG